TGCTAATGATGATAATAAGGTTGATAATGTTTGTGACAATTATGATCCTGCTGATAATTGATAATTATGAGATGACAGCAAGAATCTGTTTAGTGATTGAAGATAATGATAACATATTGACAATATGGTTTTAATGGCTGCACACCCCAGGCTGTGGGCTTATATCCTCCTGTACTAAATCCATGTATCTAGATTCACCAAAATCGGCCACCACTGCATTTCCTGAACCAGTCAGGAGAATGTTGTAACTGTTGAGGTCTCCATGCAGCACAGGTTGGTGGGCCGTGTGCAGGTATTCCATACCCTTGGCTACATCCAGGGCTACCTGCAACTTAGAGGACATTTCAATCAATCTAAAGAAGAAAATTTAGAAACAAAAAGCAATATGAATATCTGAAATAAAGAATACAAACCAGTAGGCCAACATTTTTATTTTCATGAAGCTTTTTGATAATTGAAATATTTTTTTTAAAAAGTAAGAAAATGTTTCTTTATTATAAGAAAATAAAATACTTCATCAAAAAATAACTACAGGATTTACATACCTTTTATGTTCATGAAGTACAGAAAAAAGTGAGCCACCACTGATATATTCAGTAACTAATGCGAAGTTCTAAGTACAAAAAAAAAAAAAAAAAAATCAAAATTTCAGATCAGAATATTGATTTCCTGTTTAAATATGCATATGAAATAATTATATCTATTTGCACATAAAGCTCTGTCTCAAACTATCATGTCTTAAGTGACAAATTTGTGTTATATGCCCATGCATGGGCATGAAAACATCATCACACCCCCATATGAACAAATGTATTGTTTTGCAAAAGTTGACAGTGTAGACATGAGAGCTTTACGCTGCATTCACATTTAAACTTGAACTGTCTCCCTTGGATCCTTATCAATTGTACCATCTCTGATTTACAGCTATTCCCACGACATTGACTCACATACAACCGTAGTCATCTATATGAAATTAAATTTGTTTCTAACCAGGCTACTGAGCAAACCAGGCTACTGAGAAATTTTCTAAATAAATTTAAAAATAACAAATACATACATTTGGTGCATCAATGCAAGCACCTACAAACTTGACAATGTAGGAACAATCCAGTCGAGAGAGGATGGACACTTCGTGGCAAAACATTCTAACAGCTGACTTGCATTGGTTCACATCTTCAGACCGGTATCTGTATCATTGATATATATATGAAAAATTAATTTTAAAAAAGAAGAGAGAAGCAGGTTGGACCTGCGTAGTGGATCAATAGATGAGTTGGAGGTCATCAGTCAATTTCAATTTTTCAATTTCAATTTATTTAATATTTATTTGACCATACTGTATATAAACATGCATGGAAATTAAACAAGTTACAGTATACATAGAAAATGGTCAAGGGATGACATAGAAACTCTAACAAGTCCGTCATTGTTGCCCCTCTTCAAAGACAAAAAAAAACAACATTAAACATGAAAATGAACAGAAAATAAACACTCCTCTGTATAAATAAGATAAACATAATGTTTTTCTCTGATTATTTACAAATATAATTTAATTCCCGAACTCTAATTATTTTTATTATTAAAATGACAGATTATCATCATTATTTACGATTATTGTTATGTTTGGAGCCTTAGTTAGTATTAGTTTGCGTGGATCATTGGGTTTCAATAAAGGTCAGTTTAAGTTTTGATTTGAATTGTTTTAATGTGTTTGCAGATGTTACATCTTGGATTTCAGGAATGAAATTCCATAATTTAAAGCGTAATGCAAATACCTTATTTATATCATATATGCTAAGCATTTTCAGTTTTTTGAATAGGGGTTCAGAATAGTGTCTGTAGTGTGAGGAAGTAATTATCCTTGCTAAACACTTTTGGCAGACTCTGGTAAGATATTGGTTTCGTATGTGCTTCCCCATACTAGATTGCTATATTGAAAGTAGGGTAGTATAAGAGTATTGTATAAGCTTAAATAAAATAGATTCAGGAAAATATTGTTTAATTCTGCAGTTAACTGAACAGCATTTGATATTGTGCACAATCATACAATTCTTTTTAAATATTTGTAACTTATATTTTCAAAATTGGTTTCTAACTGATGGTACAACGAGCAGGCTTACTGGTTATGTAGCATTATAATTTCATCATCGTTGACGCCGCCACCGTAACTGTTACATTTACTTTCATTGTTATCATTGATAGTAATTGTTATTGTCGTTATGGAATAATAGACAATAATTGGATTTGCGTCAGGAGAAACATGTATAGGTGTAATTTTGCCCTACCTGACGTGGAAATGTACCGAATACTCAGTACATTTGAAAACAATTGCGAAAAAAATCGCAAGTTGTTCTCAGGTGGGACTCGAACCCACGATCTCCAGATCACTAGCCTGGCATCATACCTCTAGACCACCGAGTTTGCGCCTGATGGCCAGGGTTGAATTCGAGTCCAAGTAAGCAGCGGGTACTGCAGTGTTGATAGTAATTGTTATTGTCGTGATGGAATAATAGACAATAACACAATAAAAATGTGTAATGAGGTTAAAGGTTATTCATTTATATTGCGCAAAATATAAGAGTCTCTATGTGCAGAACAAGTGAGCAGATGTAACTGGAAAATTAAAACAAAAGAAAATCCAAGCCAGCACCCAAACTGCGGTATGGGGATACGCCCTCGTCGCTGAGCAGGGATCTATCAAAATGTACCCTGTCCAGCACCAGTTGAGTCTCGGCCATCCAAGGACTCAGGCGCCTCCTATCCTGATTGAACTACAAAAAAGCTAGCTGGCAAGGGATGGGAAAAGAGAAATCAAAGAGAACGAAATAAGAATGACATGAGAAAGACAATGAAGACAAAAATGATGAAGTACTGTAGCTATTTTTTCTCAACATCAACATCATGATGATTATGACAGCAATGATGCAGTGTAAAATGATTTCAAAATGTGGATATAAAAATTTCAATGTAATACTTTTGGATACCTACCTCTTTACTGCAACTGTTCTATCTTTATACACTCCCTTATGTACTTGACTAAATGAACCAGTACCAATAACAATGTCACTCCATGAAATGTCCTCCAGTGACAGAACAGAGTTGACGTCTAATTGTGATCGCAGCTGAAACACACTAAGCTTTTCTGCAAAATAGTAAGATCTTTAATAGCATTTAATGTATTGTCACCTGAAAATGACAAAAAATCATAAAAAATTATTAAAAAAATTAACTTGCCTATTTTGCAGTAATATACAAATTATTAACTTGAGCATAGAAATTACTGAATGAAAAAATATGTCCCCTGATTTTTTTTTCTGGTAATATGCTCTAATGCACAATATGCAACTACTGTACCTCAATTACATTATGCATCAGTATCATTCCATACTTACAGATGCAGCTATTTATTTTTGTTCTTTCCTTATCATTGCACAAGTCATATTATAATTATATAGGTTACCTGCAGTATTTTGTCATATTAGACCAATGTTAAATAAATTGATTGATTTATCCCCTAGATACAACTTAAATATCTGTTACGCTTTGTCCAGATTATCATTTTTTCTTTTATAAGAAAAATGCACAATTTATCTGTGACAGATTCTTTGCTTTCCTTCTCCTATACTTTCAATCAATATTTTTCTATATTCCATTTGTTCTGTTTTGTAAATATCTTTCATGCACAAATGGATTTTGAAAAATTAGTTGCTTAAAAACTGCATGGTAGAAATGTGCAGGTGTTACTATATAATTTCTAAAACAAACTGACCTTTGAATAAGGCACAGAGCTTTCCTACAGGTGATACAGGAGCCTCTACTATAAGAAGAAAAAATATAGAGTATGTAATTTGAAATTTGAAGACTTTTCCAACAATTTGAAGATAACAATTTTAAAAGCCCAGTATAAAAGTTGCAAAGGAAGTAACAGTGCTGAAGAATATATTTAATGCTTGCAGTACACATCATGGTCATATGCCAATGGCTGGAGTTAAATTAGCTACAGATTGCTACGCTCAAATAGTGGATATATACACGAATGCTGTAGATTTAACCAACACTTTGGTACTTAGATACACGTCAGTTGGGTAAGCAGTACTTATGGCATTAAAAATAGCGTATTTGGCTAAAAATAGATATAATACATTCGCTGCACACCCCCTTACCTAATTACCGTTTTAGGCAAGAAAATTCTAAGAATAGGCACCTCTAGATGCTCAGAAATGGCAATCCTCAGACATTTTTTGCAATTTATTTTTCCAGATTGTAACAAAATTTACATCAATTGTAAGTTATGCTACATTTTCATAAAATTATGCATAGCATTAATGCTACATGCTACAGGGGTCCTAATTATGCCAAAAAGCATAATGCTAGAAATGGCCACTATGGCAGTACACCTCCAATACTGAAGAAGTTGTGAACCTATATGCTATGAAAAGTAATTTTCTTTGGTAAATATTTTTGGCAAGTTGACATTATGCATCTGTTTTTCCACCTCTAACATGTTATTTGGTCCCCCACCCCACCCCAAAATTGTTAGTGTATTCAAGATTATAATTATTTTTATACATAATCATATACAAAGGGGTGGTAGTAGCAGATTGCTTATGACATTGCGCCAGTTGCTTTAGTTGCTGTATCACAAAAAATATCATGGAATACTCCAAAGCCGATTAGAAAGTGGATATTCTGTGTATTATATACACCAATATCTGAGTATATATAATTAAACCATCTTTTACTATTTTTCAAGAACAAAAGTCTAAAATTTCCTTACAATAATGATTACTTGACAATCGCTGAGAGGTAAGCAGGTCTGGGAATGTATCATAGGCTTTCAACAATTTAACAATTTCATCATGACCTGAATACGAAACATAACAGAATTAACTTCAAATGTAGGAATAAGAGAAGAAGCGGGTGGGTATATAATCCATATAC